ATGACACCGGGTCTCGCGTAGTTGGACCCGGTTGACTTATACTAGGCCGTTACTTTCACTTTCTTTTTCCGCTTCTTCTTCTTTTTATCGTGGAGCAGCTCCTGTTTCTTCGCTATACAAAAGCGGCAGTACCAATCCTCGTCTTCAGCTGGTGGAACCTGCATACCGACGCACACCCTGAAATATTAGAAAAAGAACAAAGTTTAGCAAAATTCGACTAACTCCAACATTATACGGTGTAAATTACATAAATATAAACGAGTTATTTACCAGTGATACCAAGCGTCACAATCGTCACAGCCAATCATCGGCGAGCCATCATCCTGGTTGCCGCACGCGGGACATATCCACACTTGACGACCTCCTCGATCCTGTAACACTCATCTCAGGATAAACAGAACTCGGCGAACTTTTAAATAAAACCCAACCCATCTCGACGAATTCGCTCTGGAGTTTTGGAAAATCGTTCAAACAAATATGCCAACATTTGGATTCATCAAATATTTATTTTAATGGAACATGTTGCACTTTCTTTATCAAGAATAACGTACTGATTCTACAAGGATTGGTCAGTGGACTTCACGTCAAGATATTTTGTCATGTTGTCCATGAATATTCTCTCTTATCAAGAAGGAACATTTTAATAATAAAACAAGATACCGATATCTCATAGTACTTTCTTGTGAACTGCTGCAGAAATTCCTGAGTCTTAAACAATGCATGGGACTTATGTATCTCGGTAATACAATGATTTATGATAACATGAATCGGAGATGAACTTGTCTCTTCTTTTTTTTTTAGCATTCGATACGCATCCTTTAAATCATGTCCTAGCTTTTTATTGTCTAAATCACTCCTATTTAAAGTAGCTAGCGTGCGCATTATTTATGTATTCATATTTTTGCGATATACGTATCCGTGTCGCAACTAACGTATTATGAAGTATGAAAACTAGTTATCCATAGCGCACAGAAAAATACCTTGTAATGTTCTTTAAAAGAGGTGTAAAGCGTACTCACCACAGTAGTGGCTGGTGTTGTAGGCAACACGTTCCTGCCATTTTCTTTGTCTTCTTTAGCATCGTCCTTTTTAGGAACTGGATCTGCTTTCACCTCTGTACCGTTAAAACCGTCGGTTATATTCCTAACGGGTCTCTCATGCTAATTTTTTTTTTCTATGCAACGTGCAAATCTCATGCAACGATTTGACTTTATACTTTTTGCTACATAATTTTTTTTTTTAATGTTTTCTCTCTGCTGTCTGTTAGTGTGTATCGTTAATAAATTATATATCAATAATCGCAAATCGTAAATATATTCGCTGATTAAATGAAGAGAAGTGAACGGGAAAAATCATTAGTTTAAGTTATCTTGAGATAAGTAAATTTTTATAATAAAGGTTTAAAAATAAGAGCTGTGACATATTAGTTACATTAGTTACATTAACTGATAAGACGCATGCTCTCTAATGCTACTTAGTTAACAGTCAAGCGGCGAATTCAAAAGTGTGTGACACACAAGTATCAATTGCATCTTGTAACTATTTATACGTGAGGAATATATATGTATGCGCTAATGTGACTGCACTTGCTAAATAGAGAAGAGAAATTAACGAGAAGCATGGGCATATTATTAACTAACATAAGACAAATATACTGTAAAAGAAATTACTTCCTTCAGCATGTACGGAAATGTCAAGAATAAATTGTATATTAGTAAACCGGCACTGCTTGTAACTTTAAGCTATATACTGACATATGAAATATAAGTGAAATATCAAATTTACGATAATTTAGTTAAACATACATTAACGTTAAAGATAAAACGATGGCATCCTGTGTGTTAAAGGCATTAATTGATACTGATTATGGTACATAGTTTTAGAGTAATGCCTCTATAAAATTTGCGATATTGCATTTATACTGCCACAACAGATATTCGTTCATTAAATCTGTCAGAACGTTATTTTTATAATTACACTGTAATCGCTCAAATTTGCAATAATAAGAAGAAGAGACAAGTATACCATATTGTATATCGTACGTATATACATATACATATACATATACACATATGTATATAATATATATATATATATATATATATAATGGATGATAAAATGATGACGATAAATGCTTTCTTATTCTTAAAATACATGATTAAATTAATTTTCTAAGTTAATATTATTTATTTTTTTTTTATAAAGAATTATATCTATATTTACATAAATGCAGCAATCAATTCTACAAATGGCAAACTCAAGATGCAGCTACTCAGAAAAGACTGTATATTCAGAATATTAAAAAATATAATAAATCAAATAAAGAAACTATCAAATTTTACTAATCAGTATAATTTTTTCTAAAGAATATTATTTCTAAATTTTATTTCTGTATCACAAGATATATGAACTGAATAGTACTTTGTAACTTGTATATTGTGACTTGAGATTATTTAAATCCACTAATTATAAAAATGTCTTTTCTGAAAAGCTCTTTGTACAAAAGAAGTCTTGCGAGGCAGAATGGTGAAAGTAGAATGGCAAAATAAGCGATTAATTCAATTTCTGAAAATTAAAACTAAAGAAATATTTAAGACTCAATATAAGAAATGGAAATATGAGCACTGAACTCAAAGAAAGAAAAAGAGAAAGTGAGTAAGGTAATAATTGCAACAAAAAATACACAGTAAGTCTAAATATAGCTATAAGAGAGAATGTGTACTACAATCATTATTTTGACAACATAACAATATATCAAAAGAGAGAGCGTGGTTTAAGGAAAAAAAGGAAAACATGATACCGTCACCACAAGACGTAAATGCATAGATAGCATGAATAGGAAATTGGAACTTTTGGATAGGCTCATACTTGAAACAATATCGATGGGTTGGGTTTATTTCATTATAGAATAAAATATCAATAAAATGTTTGTAATAAATTTAAGGCAAATTTCCCCCTCCCAAATTGGTTTTATATGTGACAATTATTTTAAAAAACTTTACTATAAAATTTTAATCCAATTTAATTTAGTTAATGTACTTTCAAAACTTTGCAAAAATTTCTTATTTGTATGCTTATGTTTTATTATCTATTAATTTATTTGTCATTTATAAAAATAAAGTTTCCTTATCATTGCAGCAATGTTATAATAGACAAATTATATAATTTCTTGTAAAATTCAAAAACAGCTTAACAGGAACGCTAATATTTCTTTTTAATGTTCTTTGAAAGAAAAATATATTAATTTTTAAGTCCTATGTATTATTATTTCTTATATAAATAATTTATTCGATCATACATTCAATTTATTTACCAAAAATTTCCTTTGTGAAATATTATTTGTGAAACATTTTAATTCTAAGATCTCGAATCTTGATGTAAATTTCAATAATCCCCAATATGTAAATATCGTGAAAAATGTACTTACAAAATAATATGGTGGTTGTTGTGGCGGCACTAGAGGGTTCGGGAATTTAGGAGGATTGTCAAACTGAGGTGAAGGTATTGGCTCACTTTGAGATAGATTTTGGAAGTTAGATTTCTTTGCTCGAGGAACTGATGCAAGTGGCGCGCTAGTAAGAGTGGCAGAGAAAGAGTCTGTAGGAAGAGCAGGGCTTCCATCTAATATTCCCTCCTCTGTTTTCTTACTTGCTGACTTTTGCTTTGGCGGTCGTGTTACCAATGCCGATATTTTCGCCAATTCCGGACTAGGTTCCCGCTTGACCTCTTCATCGGGCTTTTTCACAAGTGGTTTAATAGTTCTGAGAAAAATAAGAAGTAACCACACAATAATTATCTGTGTCATGACATATTATGATTGTGTAATATAAAAATACCTCCTTTTTCGATAAACCAATTAAATATGCCAACACAAAAAAAAATTTGTATTATAATTATATTAAATTGCTAATAAAAGTTTACTAATAATAAGAATTTATTTATGACTTACATTTTCTTCATAGGCGCATTATCTGGTGTCGCTGGTCTAGGAGAAGCTGTACCTAATTTTAACGTAATTTTTGGAACAGCTTCTGGATTCTTTTCTTCCTTCTGTAATAACACAGATATAGTAAATTAATTATTGCTATTTACCATCATTATTATTAGCGGAAGATATATAACTACCGTATTCTTCTTATTTTGATCTTTCTCCTTTTTCTTTTCTTTTTTCTCCTTCTTTTCCTTGATCTTTTCTAATTTCTCGCGTTTCTCAGCCTTTTCCTTCTTCTCCTTCATTTTCTCGCCTTTATCTTTGTGTTTCTCTTTCTTATCTTTCTTCTTCTTCAACTTATCCTTCTTTTCTTTCTTATGTTCCTTAGACTTCTAAAAATAGTTATAAACTGTTATAAATATATGTATATGTGAAATTACAATTATTATACTCTAGTTTAATCAAATTAATCTGATAGCTTTTATATGCGTAAAAACTACTAGATAAATTGATTAAGATAGAGCGTAGTAATTATATGGCATAAATGATGGATATAAATATAATATTATCGTGCATAGGAATTATCTTCATCGGGACATTTCTCCAAAATATATATATTTTAATAAAATATAATCGAAATATCTAACGAGATATGGTCTCTTGTCGAATTTACCATATCATTCTTCTCTGTTTTTTCAGCTTTAGAGTTTTTCGATGGTGGCATTTGCGCGACGGGTACTGTTGGTGTGGGAAGCGTGATTGGTGCGACAGGTGCAGACACTATAGGCGGTGCAGCGCCTACAGGCAGTACCCTCTCAGGTACTTTCATGAAAGGCAATTCTTTGTTTGGCTTAAACATTTTCGTAAGTTTGTTATCCACCTTCTCTTTGTCCGCCTTCTCATTCTCGCCTAGAATCGACGGAGATGTTAACTCGGCCGGTGGAGGGATCAGTGGCTTCTCACGTTCCACGGGTTTAATTTTAGGCAACGGGAAGTCCTCGGGCTTTACGGGTGGGTTGGAAAAACGTGGTGGTAATGGTAAATTGGGCATCGCGGGATGAGGACCTGGCCCACCTCGTGGGCCAAGCGGCAACGGAAACCGCGGGAACATCGGGGGAATTAAACCAGGCGCCGAAGGAAACGGAGGGAAAAAGGGGAGGGAAGGGAATGGAAGTGTGATTGGAAGAATAGGCTCTCTGTGTAGTGGTTCGGGTGCCTGCGGCGTTTTGGGCCGATCTAGTATATCCGATTCTGTCGTATCACATGAAGGTTTCGTCTGAAAAACAGCAAATTACCAGCAAGATATACTAATATTGAAAATTAGAAGCATATTAAAATGTGATACTCAATCGAATTATCGCTGGGAACAAAATCGACTGCGATTAATTTAAGAAATATATAAAATACGTATAACTCTTTTTGATACTATGTACACGTAGTTCGATGAGTAATTGTCCTGTAAAACATATCTTACCTTTTTCGGACTACTTTGTTTCGGACTCTTCAATTTAGGTTCTTTCTTTTTGCCACTCTTCTCTTTCTTCTTTCGCTTCTGTTCCGGTACCGTGGGTACACTCAATTCGGGGGTTTTCGGCGTGCTGGGCGTACCCGGCGGTGAAATGTCAGCGTCGTCGAACATGTAAACATCTGACGATAAACTCTGCACGTCTGCCAAATCACTGTCCGACTGTATGTGCACGTCCGGTGTATGAGGTGTCTTCTTCTCCTCGCGTCCTGCTTTCGGGTCCGCGTCGTTACGGTGCGCATGCTTCTCCGCATTCTCGATATCTATGATCAAATCCGGCGACTTTTCGCGCGACTCAAGAATCTCCTTGTGCTTATGTGGCTCCGTCGTCTCTTTGTCCTTGTCCTTTTCCTCGCGCGGTTTCGATATCTTCTTGAATATATTCAGTTTTTGTTTATCCGGCTCCGACGGCAACTTGTCAACGGTTTCCTCCTTCTTTTCGACGGCAGGAGGACCGTCCGTCAGATCTACCTTGTCGGGCTTGACCTTCGGCTGCGTCGCCTTCGACGGTTTCGGACTACTGGCGGCTGATTTAGGTGACGCGATCTTCGGCGTGGATGGCCTGCTACCCGTGAGTTCTTGTAACGTGGTAGATTGTGCCTTGCCACCACCTGGCTTTAAAGGTTTTAACTTGGCCAACTCCTTCATGCCGACTAATTTCTTTACTTTACTCTCATCGATCTTGTCCGGCTTGAACAATTCCTTCGCGCCTTTCTTCTTCTTATTCTCTTTGTCAAGCTTACGATCCTCGGGACCTTTCTTCACAACCTTCTTCGGTTTCTTGTCGGTCTTCAGTTCAGGTGGCACCATCGGATAGGAACTCGGTTGCGGTGAATCCGATCGGACTTGATGCGGCGTTCTCGATTCAGGTAGCTTTCCTTCTCGCGCGGGTGATAAAAAACCAGAGGTGGTCATCATAACGCTGCTTATTTCACGTAACGGTCTGCCCTCCTCCAAAACCTTCGCCCGCTTCACTACGGGGCTTTCAAAAGACACCGGATCGCCCGGTCGTTTAAAAACCACCTGTGGCGACATTCTGTGAGGTGATGCATTATTCGAATTGCCCGACGATGTCCCACTACTGGATGTCAAGTCTGCCGTGCCATTCATTAAACTTTCATTCTTATCTGATATGTATTCCTCTGTAATCATTATATATTATCGATAAAACGTAAATTAATGTAAACTGGCATAACTATTGCAGTTTACCCAATAAAGAAAATATGATTCATTACCTTCGGTATCTGGGTACATAGCTGGTAAATGTTCGTGTACGTGTACTGGTCTCGTGACTACTTCACGACTACCCGGTTTTAAAAAATTCAAATGATTCTCACGTCGAACTGGATACTTAGGTACTTGTATAGGACATGGAACAGAATCTACATTTTTCACGTATTCGGCTAATTCTTGTATGTCAATATTCATATATTGAAATGTTAATCCTAAGTCGTCAAGATTTGGTTCCGTCCTTCCCACTGTAAAAACGTAAAAATATAATAAATCCAAAATATCTATATATGTATTAACATTACTCAGTAAGTGTAACAAGTAAATAATTTATTTAGTTTTCTCTTAACACATTGTGGATCAGACATTTTACTGCATAGCCGGCTATGTTTCTACATAAAATATTTTTAAGGTGCTTATGATTTGTCCGCAATTAAAAATCACCGTTATGTTACTGAGTTACTGTTCTTGACTGATGAATAAAAAATGCGAGATATCTCGTCATCAGTCTTTAACGATGGAATATGAAACGCGAGATAACTCATCTGTCCATGTTAAGAAATTTTAAGAATATAAATTTTGATAATAGTATCCAAAAACTATTCAATCTTTTACTTCATAAAATATATATATATAAAAAGACAAGAAAGCAAAAGACCTTGACAACACACAAGGCAATCACTGTCAAAATTAATATAACAGTTACTCACAAACTTCCGCATATTGATGTGTGAGCTTGGAAATACGTAACAGATATTCTTGCAGGAGATCTACCAGAAACTCCAATGGTGTAGAATTAATGGAGTGCCATCCTATCGTCTGACAAATCTGTGCAACGACTATTTTTAAAACGTTTCGACTGTATTCAGCTGACATTTTTGCCTGCAAAAATTATGAAAATATACGTGAATATTTTGACGCAGTTTTTTTTAACCCGTTGTCTTACAATTTCAAATCAAACTCTTGCCAGATAACGTAGTCTAGATAATATAATAATCTCACCAATGATATAAATTTTATCTAAATATAACAAACGTGGGTACAACTCAATCTGTGTAATAACTGGACACATTACAATACATTTCTTATATAATTATATATATATATCATCAATAGCACAAAAAATCGTAAGCTCTTTATTCAATCTTTATTCTAGAGACTCCAACTTTTTTTTTAAAGCTTATTGTTACAATTGTTTATTATCCTCCAAGAAATAGTACTGAGATTGTTCACTCCCTAGGTTATCTTGCAATTAAGTTTGTATTTAGGATACTTAGTTCTTATATCAGACATTTTCTCAGATAAAATTCTAAATCATCTGAGAATCAAATCTAGATCTTTTGCTGGACAAGTAACTGCTGTAACATTGAGCTATCCAATATTCCATATATATATGTGTATATATATATATATATATATATATATATATGCAAAACATAATAATCATCGGAGAAAAATTAAACGTACTGACTGAACATTTCTATTTATCTTGACAATCCAACCGACAGCACGTCCACAGTCACAAGAGATTGTAAGGCAACGAGGTTAAGAATAGTACGTACACTCCTATGTAAACTGTGCCCTAGTTTACACCGATCACTTGATACGCGTATTAAATAGTAAATAACTAGTAAATTAGTTTGATTATTGGTTGATCAGCTCAAAAATATACCATTTGACACGCGTATCAAGAGATCGGTGTAAACTAGGCCTTTTTTGTATATGCCAATTTAGTACTACATAGTAACCAGTATATACACAAAACAAAGCGAAAACCAAAGCAGTACGTATATAACACGACACTTGAATAGAATCAACGAATTTAATTATTCAAAATAAATATTATTGGGACATAAAAAATTGTACCGTTACGTGATCGCCAACAGTTATCGTAACCAACGCTGGCCGGAGCAATCACGACGCTGCGGAGACTCGTACGTGCCAATTTAGCGACAGCGTCGCTGCACAGGCTCGGAGGCCAACGGATATATCTTCAGGGATGTTTTTAATCAGCCACACAAGCCACAAGCTCGAGGGAGGAAAAGAACGAAACCGCGATAGGGGCCAAGTGTGCGTTCCCTCACCTGGACGCGCGTGAACCGTGAACGTACGCGACAGCGGGAGAATACCTCTCTCTTCCGGCCTTCTCAGCCGGACAGTCACATAGTTGACGTGCTTGACGTGAACATTAACGTGAACGTCGCTCGACACCCAGAACTCGCGAGAGAGAAAAAGAGAGAGAGAGAGAGAGACACACAATGCGCGTTGTAAATGTATCGCGAGATACACTAGCCGTTAGCCGCCATTCCTTGCCGTTCCCGTCATTCCCGTCTGTTCCCGTGGACTAGAGTCCTACTCCTTCCTATATTCCTATCCCGCGAGCGGCGCGGACGCAGGCCGGCGCGCACTGCGCAGTCATCATGGGCGCAGTGTGATCTCCGTCGCTAAAGTCACTAGATTTTAACAAAGTACCCAGGCGTCGCCACGGCCTCGTGCGCACGCGCCGCGCGAAAACCGCGACCGCGGCGCGTCCACGTCCACGCGTTGCCATGGTAACGCCGCCGGATGTTGGTGTGTTCATTCGTGTGCGGACTGCGGACTGCGGGGCAGTGCGGGGGGCCCGGCGTTTCCTGCGACGAGGCTTCCACGCCATATTATTTGTCGATTGTCGAGAGTCTACCGAGGAAACGGAGCGCGTGGCGACGCATTTCGTTTTCTGTCCGACACAGATCCACGGTCGAGGGACTTTGGCGATGAGCGATATCGAGGTGAGTGCCGAAAAATCGCGGATCCTCGCGCAACCGACTCGCGAACCGTCGTCGCGTGAAACGCGACGAAATAACGCGACTCGACACGGCCATTATCGATCCAGCGGCGCAGTTCCTACTCCCAGCCATTATCGGTACCACGCGGCGTTCGTGATGACTCGACGCGCGCGACTCGTTCGCTGCCGCTAATTGCGGAATGTGTCCTGAAAAAATGTGCAATATCGAATTCCCGACGATTCGCCGACGATGATTTTGATCTCGGCGAAAGCGCTTTATAAGGTTATAAACGTGAATAGCTGAATCGCGATTGGTCGGTCGCGCTCATATGTTAGAACATTGGCGATTGTTATCGTTGGTAACATTCGCTATTTAGAAAATATATATTTAATTCTAATTTGATTTGATATATATATATATATATATATATATATATATATATATATTTTCTAGGTTAGATTTGTATACATATGTATTTATTCTGATGAAAATGAAATGTTTCCGCAAATGCTTTTTGATCTTGAAGTTCAATTTACAAGAAGGTCTTTATTTGTCTTTATTAGCTTGTGATATATTTGTTTATATAGAATGCCAAACATTGTCATACCTTGGAAAGTTACAAGTTATCTTTTGGAGTAAAGCTTACATTACTATTGAAGAACTCAGTTCTGTCCTCTTAGACATTGAACATTCTGTTTTCCATTTGCAAATTTATCGTAAGTTTTAAATATTACTTAACATTTCAATATTAGACGCATGAAGACTTTTAATTTAACATTTAAATGCATTTATATTTATTGAAGTATTAATTAGTACTTTTTATTTCTTCTATATGTGTGTGAAAGATATGTGTATTCTCGCAATGGAGTTAAATCTGATAAGAATTAATTCAAATTCGGCCCTGATAAATGGGCGCCAATAAGTATAACTTTAGTAATTAATTACTCAACAACTAAACTATAAAGACAGTTGGCTTACACTTTGGCATGGACGACAGACTTCCATAGACAAATATCCTCCATAAATTTGAACTAATTCTTATCATATTGATTGAGCAATCACCCTCCTTAAGCAATAAAAGAATTAATGGATTAAAGAAAGATATTATAAAATATCATAAATATTATACTTCTTTAATCTGCTAATTCTTTAGTTGCTTGTAACTCCATTGTGAATATTTCTTTTATACAGAAGAAATAAAAGATATTAAAAAATACACAAATAAATATAATATATTTAAATGTTAAATTAAATGTTTTTATATGTGTATAATATTATCATGTGTGTATAATTCATGTGTGTTAAATATTATCACATTTTTTTTATGTCCCATTTTCTCAATTTAATTTATCATGTAAAATATAATGATAATTCAATTTTGTATCATCTTTGTATATACATGATATAACTTGCGGTAACGGTTGTGTTTTAATTTGCAGAGAAGTGGCAGTCGCAGTGCAAGCCCCCGTCGACCACGAACTGCGGACGGTGGCCTAAGAGACTCGCGATCGCATTCGAGATCGCGTAAGTCGCGCGAGCGGAAGGAGCACAAAGAGGTCAACAAATACTCGAGGTCGCGTAGTCGATCCGCGTCACGCGGTCGCAAGTCGTATCGGGGCAGCAAGTATACCGTTGGTCACCGTAGTAGCCGCAGCCGAAGTCGTTCGCCATACCGCGGCAGTCGTTACTCCCGTAGTAGATCTCGCTCGTACTCGCGGTCGCGGTACTCTCGCGACCGACACGTGTACCGGTCACACTCACGCAGCCCGATGTCATCGAGGCGGCGGCACATTGGTAATCGCGACAATCCTTGCCCTTCCCGTTGCCTAGGTGTCTTCGGACTCTCAATTTTCACGACTGAACAGCAAATCCAACATATATTCTCGCGATATGGCCCAGTAGAACGAGTACAGGTCGTTATCGATGCAAAGGTATGTGAGACTTGATGTATTCATGTATGTTTATTCATATATTAATATAGTACGCGACAGTCCCCACATAGGTGTTTACACTGGGGAACAATAAAGCTGCGCCAGAAATTTAGAACGTTCATTCTTAAGAGACACATGATACGTTAAAGGCTTCTGGCCACATAATTACATATTAATATAAATCCTACGTGTAAATTAGAAGTTAGTACAACTTAGTGATAGCGCAGTTTAATGGTACCACATGTAATTCATATTTACAGACTGGACGCTCTAGAGGATTTTGCTTTGTATATTTCGAATCGTCCGAGGATGCTAAAGTGGCTAAAGACCAATGCACCGGCATGGAAATTGACGGGAGACGAATCAGAGTAGACTTCTCTATTACGCAACGCGCTCATACTCCTACTCCGGGAATATACATGGGAAAACCTACGCATCTGCACGACAGAAACTGGGATGCTCCGAGACGTAGAGAGTAAGTCGTCTAAGTCCTCTCGAAATAATAAGTCAAAAAAATAATTGACACATTATTTCTCTTTTTTCCGTTTTCTAATTCTTTATTTTTTTTAATACTGGAAACAATAGAGTTAGCTACAGAGGAAGTTATCGTCGCTCACCCAGCCCATACTACAGCCGTCGACGTTCACGTTACGACCGCTCTAGATCGCGCTCCTATTCGCCGCGTAAGTACAACGCCCACTTAAATTTGCAATTTGCAATATAAGCTGTCTACATGGATATATGTGTCTCATCCTTGTACTAAATTTATGTTAGAACACGAGATTATACGTCTATATACAGGATGTTTCAAGGATAATAAAGTTGTATGAAAGTTCGTGAAAAATTGATTAATAAAAAAATTAATAAAAGTGCATGCCATTTTTTTATAAAGTAGTTTTTTAAATATAAAGGTTTAAGGTATAACCAATCGTAAGCATTGATTAAAAAGTCATCTGTCCGTGTGTCGTGCGCGCAATGGTATTAGATAATTAGATGTCAAACAAAACGTTGCCGCTGTACGTATACTACTGCACGATCATACTTTTTAACCAATGGATTGATTATACCTTAAACCTTTATATTTAAGAAACTACTTTATAAAAAAAACGGCATGCCCTTTTATTACTTAAATTTTTCACGAATTTTTATGCTGCAATTTTATTATCCTCGGAACACCCTGTATATGTATAAAACTGCAAATTATCTAGCAAAAACTTCATATTTTCGTAATTTCTTGCACAACGGTGCTTACTGTAATGTACGTTTATTTCTCTTATCTCACTTTTTTGTTTTACTGAACACTTTACACGAAAATTTTACGTGGAGAAGAATTCTCGCATGTTTCATAACGTTTATTTTTCTAGAGAAAGACATGACTTCTCATCATAATTCTTTGTTACGGCCGGGCATCTTGCTGCGTTATATACATTAATTAACTGCTTTGTTGAAGATATTTATGAAAATTATGAAATTTAAAAGAAATTAATATATTGCGTAAAATACTTAAAAAAAAATTAAAATATTTAATATATATATCGATGCTGCTTACTATTAATTTCAAGAGACGATTTTGCACGCGATATATCTTATTACGTTGAAAAATTCGTCGAGCCATTTACAATATAATGCTTCTTTCGGATTCATATTTTCGTAGACCGCTTATATTTATCGAAACGGTAATGTTAATTGGATTACAAAGTAAGCACTTAAGTTAGCAAGAAATCGGCAGACGGGAGCATCAGAGAAATGCGCTCGATAAATCGTACGGTAGTAGCTAAGCAGCAATCCGTAACTTGCGTAAACAATCATGGTTTTTTTGTTGCTTAATGAATTTCAGGACGCTATTAGTCATGCAAGTGATGCGAGGCCAGGTCCTTTCGGAAGATCCGATGAGTTTGACCCAAATATTTCGTCAACGGGTCAAAATTATTAAATTAACAAAATCACATTATATTACTATTCTTACCTTACCTAATCCTGCATCCGTATGCAGATATACAATCTCGCAAGCGTTTTAGTTACACTACTATAAACAGTATCTACTATACAGTATATACTATAAACACTATTGACGAAAAGAAAAAATGTAAAATGTAGTAAAGTGTAGCATACCGTTTGCACGAAAACCAGTAAGGTTAGAATAGATGTAAAACCTTATTTTCATAAGTTTATATCTCTTCCTCTTAATGTTATGAAGATAAGGTTTCAATTGTGTAATAATACAGGCTATAATGTGAGCTGGAATATAATTGAGTGCTCGATATTTGTGTTGTCTCTAGCTTACAGTTGTATTCCAGCCGTTGACTAGAATCTTTTAAAAAATGTGAAAAATTCTCTCTTTAACGAAAAAAAAAAATAAAGTAAACCTAAATAAATAAAGCAGGAAAACGAAACGCAAAGATATAAAAAAAAAAAAACACAGAAAAATAATAACGAGCTTTGGTACAAGTAAGTTCTCTAACCTGTTTGTTTGTTTATAAGGTTTTGAATCAAGAGGTATTGGATGATAGAGGGAAGTTTGAAGTTTCACTCTGAAAAAATGAGTTTTGAAAAGTCGAAGACAAGATATTTGAAGACACGTTTATCTTGCTCGCATTGTCAAGAGTCAGAAGGTTTTCTCGGTTGCTTGTGACAAAGAATATGATCTGCAATTCATTTCCGGCTGAGAAGCCTCAAGCCTAGAAGAAAACGTCAAGTAGTGCAAGCCCGAAGACAGAATCGAGTTGATCGTCAGACCCCCGACCGGGACGGAGTTCATTTTGGTTGGGGGTGAAAACAGGGCCGAACGTGTTTCCGAAAAATATTCAAGAAGTTCATCGAAAAATCTTTCGTAGAATAGGGACGAGCGTAAGGTGCTCCCAGACCTTTATACCGATCATATTCTTTATCAGTTGGTTTGGTTGCCACACGCTATTTTATTCGCTCTAGAGAACTGCATATACATATACATATATATACATATATATATATATATATATATATATATATATATATATATATATATA